AAATAATCACAAATCTATTAAAAATACTAATAAAAATATTATTAATAAATATTTCATCATATAATAACAATGTAGTAGTATTGTAATACATATAATCATATAATAGAGTAAACAGAGTTATAAAAATAACTATATATGAGAAATTTTATGAAAGAGAATTAAGAGGACTAAATTCATTTTGGCTTTCTACTAGATATAAATATATAAGTACTATGCTAGAAACAGCTTTTTCACTAATATTTGCTTTATCATTAGTGATTGTAAAACTAGCTTTTGAAAATATTCTCTCACTAAAAACACTTAATAGCTTGATACTTAAATAATCTTGTACCATTCTACTAAGTACTAGGAATCTATATGATAATGATTCCCAAATTAATATTCATTTATTTTCTTTCTTTTCATTATTATTTGAAAACTTTTCAAGAGGCTCTTTTTCGTATAATTCTAACTCATATTCTATTGTACCTATGTGTCTTCGTTTATTTAAAATTTTTCTAGGAAATAAAAAACTAGAATAGTTATCCTTAACAGTTTCAACATTTGAAGATTCTGCGATACTAAATTTAATTCTATTAGAAATAATCTTTTGCTGAATATTATCAATAAATAGTTCTGCATCACTTTCACTATATCTACTAATTTGAATTAAAATTATTTTTAAGTAATTCAGCTTATACCTTAGATCAAGAACATAAGCAATTATTACATGGTCAATTATTACATTCCAATATTTTTCAAATTTTTTTTTTATTTTGTAGGTTATATCATTATTTCTAGTTTGATTAATATGTTGACAAATTTCTAATATAATTATTATTACATTAGAGATTGAATTAGATTGTTCTTTAAAGAGAATTAAAGTAGCCTTTTCAAATGGTTTAAGAAATTAGCAGAAGGATTCAAGAATTAATTAGTTTTCATGATCTAAACAGAGAGGCATGGATGGGTCTTTCAAGCACATCTCAGAAATTGCTGAATGTAAATACAGATATCTTTCAAACATAGCTAATATAGAATTCCAATATGTATTTATTTCAAGAACAGGTTACAAAAACTTTATTTCCAAAATTATTTAATATAATTCTAATATCTCTAATCTACTACTACTCAAAGAATTAGCTAAATATTTTATAACATCGTGAACTTGTTTTTCTAGTAGACAGATTTCTTTTAGGCTTCTTTAACAATAAGGTTGAGAATATAACACATATATCCTTGAATAAAAAGAAATTAAAAATTTAAAATTTAAAATTTAATATTAATAAAAAATTTTAAAATAATAATCAAACCTATTGATATTATATTCAGCAATTCATTTTGAAGCAACCAACTTATAGCTTTATTTGTAGTAGTATTATCTATAGTGAGTGCAAATATTTTTTCTTTAATGGAATACTCATCTAAGGTGTTTTTAATTACTGATAATATTTTATTTGCTGTTTGGCCTGATTGTTGAAAACTTAAAATTATATTGACTATTTTCCAATTGTCACTAATCCATGATCCTGTAATAACAATGTAATGACATTTATGAATAGTCGAATGCCACCTATCACATGTTAGTGATATTTGTCCAGAGGATTTAGTTAGAATATTTTTAATGAAATTGAATCTTAAATTAAATATATTTCCACTAATATAGCGTGATATTGTAGTTGGATGTAGGACTTTGTATGACTTTTTAATATATTGAAGATTTCTAGCCATTTTATGGAATAATGGATTTTCAAGAACATTGAAGGACATTCCTGTTCTAACAATCAAGTTAACTATTAACTTATCTATCTCTTCTTTTGTAATCTGCTGGAACGCATCATTCTGGGTATCCATTAGTGGAGAATTAGGACACTTTATAGTATGTTCTTTTAAATGTGTTCTACTAGTATTTATTGAATATTTCTTTGTTTGACAATG